CAACAATGAAAACTTTCATTTGGTATGAGAATTTCAATTGAAAAATGGAATAATTTATTCTGGTTGAATTGATAGCCTTTAATTACCTCGCTTCATCAAGTTTTTTGTACATCTTGTAAATGAGTCACTCAACTGAAACGATGGGCTGTTCACTGGAGGTTGTGGAATAGAAAGATATTGGATAAAGATATCTATGAATAGGTATTGGATATTGAGATATGAATACATTAGATATGGACATATACGTGAAGAAAAATAAACATGGAGGTAGATATTGGTGGATTATATAGATCAAATGTGAAATTCTCTTTGAGTCGAACCGTGAACGATATCCATCGGAAAATCCAGCAGAATGACTCTTTTCAATCCGATTATCCGATTTCAATTTTTTTGAAATATTCGATCTTCATTGAGAATCCCTCTCTGAAATGTTGCTTCAGGTAAAAAATTTTCTTTCAGCTTGGTCGTGATTGCTGCGTTGAGTATAACTGAGGCGAGTCCTGCGAAACGATTCTCAGGTCTAGGAATTGCTGGTATTGGAAGTATTGGAGGCATTGGAGGCGCAGCCGGATGTGTCGTTACGGTATATTTTACCCTACTTTTTGGGCAAATTTCTCGATTTTTGAGCGACATTTTTTAAGTTTTCAGTTGATTCCCACTATCAAATGTCGTGTTTTTATTCGATCATAAACCATTTGAAATGCGAAAAAGTCCCAAAGTATGAGGAGTTGAGAAAATAATTTTTAAATATGAAACGATATCGTGTCGGTAATTGAAGGGAAATAAATTGTTCGCGAATGGTATCTTCCTGAGAGATTTGACATCGGCCGAACAGCAAGAAATGGTACAATACGAGAAAGATGTCAAAAAATACAAAGAGGTCTGCGTCGAATTTGAGCTTAAAACTTTCTGAGTTTATACTATAAATTGGTCATAGTTTCTTTGATTATTTCTCATGTGGTAAATTCTTTGACGAAAGTCAAACGTTTATTGAAACGTTTCGCTGAAGAAAATTGTTTTCGGCTGAAACTTTCGACTGAAAAAATAACAAAACTAATACGATTTCTTTCCATATTCCAAGATGATAGAAATGATAGAACAGCCCGATCAGAGTATCTAGATTAGTGAATAGGATGTGATCATGAAACACATAATCTGTCGACAATAAACTGAAAATGAACGAACTCTTCGAATGGAAGTAACAATTCCAGGAAGTAAAGAAGATAATGGAAGATAAACGTGAAGAATTCCACTCGGCACGTAAACTCAAGTCAAACAAAGTGTCTGAGGTGGCTAAATCCCTAAAGGGTCAATTCCCGAAAGCTCCCGAGAAGCCGTCGTTCTGTTCAGACATTGATACAACTCAATACTACTTCGACGGATGTATGGTTCAGGTATGACACTAGCGATCTCGGATATCTCGTTATTCCTTTATTAAGAATCTGGAGGAAGTAATTCTTCGGATACAAAGGAAGAATCTGCTACAGAGCAGTACAGATTTAGCCGATGGGTTTTTTTAAATGAATATCTGCTGAAGGGTGGGCAATTGTTGAGTGAACTACAATATGTGATCGATCGTAGTTCAGCTCGTGAGCACTCACTATTGCACGTATGCTGATCTGCATAGGTTTTCCGATTGATCATCTCCCAATAAAAGTTGACGAGTTTATCGATTCAACTTTGAGAATTATTTTTCTTCAAGAAATTTCACATGAATGAAACGGAATTTATGACCAATTCAAATGTGCAAAATCGCGGTGAAATTTGATTCAATCGGCGAGAATGATGTGATATTACATGCAATAAAATCAACAATATAGATTTTAAGATTATATAGTCAATATTATCAATATTCCATCATCGTGGTTATCTTTTACTGAAATTTCTAAAATTGCTTTCTCTTTTTTTGCTGCAATTCAATTTCCGCATTTCTCTTGCAAAACATAGTTGCTTTTTTCAAAATCACTGCAGCTGCATAACCACAACACAGGTGCATTTCTTCAAAAAAATTCTTCTCAGTTGAGATTATTTTTTTTAGATAGAAAATAAAGTTTCGTTTTATTGATACAGGAAGAGAGGTTTTATTTTATCGATAAAAAGAAAGCAAAAACTAGAAAATGCCGTGAAATATGCATAAGAATCATATAAAACTACAAAATCAACAACCAACAATGCTTATCGTTAGACAAAAATATCTTTATACTATCCCTCCCAATAGTTATTGACAGATCTGCTTATCTAGT